TACTGGTTTGAGCCTGAAGTGCTCTTTGGCTGTATGAGATGATGGCAGCTGGTGGGGGCTTTTGCAGCCAGTCAGTGATTATCAGGGACCTCAGTGGAGTGGGAGTAATGTCGATCATGCAGACCTTGCCTTTAAATGCACTACAGAACAGCTGGGAAAAAAAATCGGACTTTTCACAAAGCACAGCTGCACCTGGGCTGCTTTGTTGTCCAGTGGTTGGTCTGATTCTTAGATACAGAAGTGGCATCTTGGAAACGCATTTCCTGGGGGGTGAATGGCAGGTAGGCAACAGGAGGAGTATGCACAGCAGAAACCACAAACCTCCTGACCTTAGCTGGAAAGCATCCCCTCTGGCTGCCCCATTGCAGCAAGAACTGGCTCTCTCAAAGGGCCGAGGCTAAATGGCCGAAGTAATGCAATTTTTCTCTTGCCAAGGGAAGCTTAGCTATAGAGGTAGCTAAAGGTTGGGGGTGGGGTGGGGGAACCCACTACTGCTGCTATGGCCAGAAACACTTGTCCATCCTTTCTGCATTGATAAGCAGCTTTGCTATCTGGCATGGGAGGAGGGGGCAGTGTCAGACACGGGTAAATGTTGTTAGTTGTGGAAGAGAAGGCAACAGCCAGAAAGATTCTGAGCCCACGGGTATCATGCATGGTCCTGGGGCCAAGCAGGATGTGCACAGGCCCTGCTGCAGCCTTTCAGGGGGGTGAGGTGAGGTGTTTGCTGGCTGGGGATTTGTACCCGCATTTGTACATTTGGCACATTTGTACCTACTGTGCTCTACAAGCAGGAGAGCCCCCAACGCAGTGGCCAGCTCTCCTGAGCCACAGGCAGCACAAGGTGGAGGTGGGGAGCTGCCAGAGCCTCACCTCCAGCTGATATGGAGTCACGCAGGTCGTCTGCCTGCCCCCCCCATCCCACCCATTGCTCCTCTTCACCTTGGTCATTGTCTCCTGCCCCTGACCATCATACCCTCTGCTGTCCTGTCATTTCCCCCACAGCCCACCTCTCCTTCCCCCCCACCACCCCGCACAGAGACCCACAGCATCCCTTGTTCCTGCCTCCCCCTCCCTGCCTTCTCCCTCAAGAGTCCTCCACATCAACACCTGCAAGGCCCCAGTCACCTCTCTAAAGCATTTATCCCCTTCCTCATACCCCACAGCAGGTGCAGGGCAGATTGAACTGTGGCCCACCCCTCACCTGTCCACACTTGCCATCCCAACAGGGAGGATGCAGTGCTGCAGGTTGCCTTCCACCAGTACCTCTCCTATACACCCCACAGCTGCAGGGACCTCACTTTTACCACTGTATCCTAAGTGTGTTTATCCTTGTGTTGTGTTAGGTTTTCGTACAGGAGGCAACAGCAACTGCTGTGTTCAAAGGACATGTGGTGGAAGTACAAGTTAGAAGCTGCACAGTTCCCCTTTTCCATTTTGTTTTTCTCCACAAGTAACTTTGAGAATATAGCCATCTGCAAATAAATCATTGCACATGCAGGCCTGTCTCGAGCTCCTTTCTGCAACAAAACAGAGCCCTGCACATTTGTACCCACTGTGCTCTACAAGCAGGAGCCAGTAGCACACGTGCAAGGAAGCTGGACGTGGCTGGCTGCCAGGGAGGGCAGCATCACTCTTGTCCTTCAGCACAGGACACAGCACAGCAGTGGGCAGTTTCCACCAGTGCTAGGCACACATACTTGGTTCCTTTTGCTTAGGGGCTAAAAGAATAAAATGGCCTTAAAACAGCAAAGCATTATTTGGCAAAGCAGGCAGCTGCAGAAGTGAAGGTCAGGTATGTCAGGGAAGAGGAGAGGAAGAGTAAGTGAGGTAACTGGAAAAGTCTTCACATACCAAATGTATCCACTGCTTCCCCACTTCAGGTCTTCAGAGAGCCCCAGGCAGCAGCAGAGCATCTCTGCCTCCGGGGGCTTCTGGCTGGTAACAGAGAATTGTCTGTACTCCATCCCAACAGAGAAGTATCTGAAAACTGCACGATGTGCACACACCTAGATGTTTGGTTTCTGGGCCAAGCAACAATGTTCACAAACTTCCTGGGAGCACAACTCCATGCCAAGGGGGAAGGTCTTAAAAATCATTCCTGAAGGGAAAAAAAAACCCAACCCATCCCAAAACACACCAACCCACACCCCCCTAAACATCCCAGAGACTTGATTAAGGCAGTCATAACAACCGCAAGTAAAACTCGAGGTGGATGGATGTTAAAATGCATTTTCATTGTTGATCACACCACCTTCTGTGTCTTTCCTTGGCATTGGCTCACACCAAAAAAAAAAAAAAAAAAACCCAGACCCCCAATTAAAGCAGATCACAGGTTACAAACAGAACATAGCGCAATGCCAAGTCACTTTTCCCCACTCACTCCCCAACACCTTCAAACAAGTCTGCATATTCCTTCAGCTACTGTAAAACACTGGCAATGAACATACACCCCTCTGCAGGCCCCCTCCCCCAGAAAGGCACTCTGGCAGTCCCTACTAGCTGAAGACCAGAATCAGAATTGAAAGCTGGTGGAGAGCGTGGTAAAAGACAACGCAGCCCCTGCCAGGGAGCTGCCCCCACCCAGCCACAGGCCTGCACCTCAAGGGAGCGCAGATCCAGCACCAAAACCACCCCGAGGGCTCCCACCAGCTGCACCAAGAGTTTACAAACACTGGTATCTGATACAGGTTTCACTGCACTCCAAGGTTTTTGCAAGCATCATGTATGAAGGCTCCCTTTTCTGAAACAGCGCTGTTCATGTTGCCTGTTACAATGTGGTTTATGGGGTTGTTTTTTTTTTTTGTCCCCTCACAGGGAAAAGGCAATAACCCCCTACAGGATTCTCCTGCAAAGTTCCTGAAGGCTATTTTCATTGTAGCCCAGAGCACCTTGAAAATAAACACAAATGTTTTGGAAATACCCCCAAAAAATACTATTCTGACAAACCCTACTCTGTGAAGGAAAAACACTTCCCTGCAAATAGGAACTGGCGGATTGCTAGAATAAACATCTTCCTAGTAGCAATTTTGTATTATTTCTAAACCTAAAAAAAAAAAGAAAAAACCCAAACAGACAAAGATCTGTACGAGTTAATGCGATGCCCAAGAATAACTTTAAATCCAAGTCAGTATATATTCAGTCTCTAAGTAAACATGGATAGTACTGGTCTGCATCCTCTTCAAAGCAAGTGGAGTGGAGTTTGGAAGTCATGAAATGCAACTGTCCTCTGGAGACCAGCCATACACCGATTCTAAATAACACCACACTGAGAAGAGCCTACTTTAAACACATCTTGTTCTATGGAAACTTGAATTCACCTACCTGTGAAGAGTTTAGGATTACATACTTCCTCAGCTGCCAAAGCATGTGGTATTAAAACATATTTATGTAAATCACCCCAGATTTCTACATGAACTGATTTTGTATACAGTTGGAATTAAAGACAGATGCAGGAACTTCTGGAATAAAACTGTCTGGATAATACATCAAAACCAAAGAAAATCAACTGAACAAGAGTCTTGAAAATGCTTTATTGAACCGTGTGTCTTATTGTAATGTGCAGAAGATGTGTTTGAAAAGACTACAGCTTGAAAAATTTTTGAAAATCCTCAACAATCAATAAAAAAAGTCCCTACTGGAGGTAACTCTCAGACCAGAGGCCTCATGTAAAGTTTCCCTTGAAACATTTTCTGTTGCAGAGACTAAAAGAAAACAAAGCTAGTACTGCTCTATGTGGAAACAATCAGGATTTGAGGATTTAAAAAAAAAAGAATGGAACTTAAACTTCAGTCTATGGGGTTGCTTCTTTTTGCTGCTGTTATTTTGGATTAGCATACACGTCACAGTTCTGCTGAGAACACCATCTGGTGTTCAAGTCTGTAATTTTACTCTAAAATGCTAGCAATGCTGCAGAGATGGAAGGATACAGAGAAAGAGAGAGGGAGTGAGGTGAGAAAGATCTGGAAAGACACCATTATGATATAAGCCTAGTTTAAATTTTCATCAGAAGCTGTGTGCACTTGTTTTTATAATCTAACTTTACATTCAAAAAAAACCCACCAAGAAAAAAAAAGGGGGGGAGGGTCGGGGGTGGGGATGACACCAAACCCCATATCCCTTCTGTCCTTGTCTTGGGGCTATTATAAACTTCTATGCACAAGAACACCATACTCTCTTTTTTCCCAAACCAGTAGGGTTAACAGTATAGGCATGTAGGTGGCACGATTCAACTAAAAGGCTTTTTCAACTTTTTTATACCAGCAAAAATAACCAAAAGAAACAATAAATAAAAGGTGCTAAAGTTAGCATTAAGAATTCAGTTGTAATATACTGACAATCTGGGAATCCAAATCCTCAAGCTCTCCTGATACTGACAGGTCTCTGCAAACTATGAAGCAAATACATAAATAACTCAAAATATGATTGAGACTGTGAAAGGTTTTTTAAACTAAGACAACATGATCCAGGTTAACTTTTTTTTTTTTTTAAAACACAGTGAATATATGAATTGTCTACACCTGAATAAAACATATTTAACAATTAAAAAATTTTAACAACCACAAAAATGAAAAAACTTTAAACAAAAGTGAACATCATTTGATTTTAGGGCACACAAAAGCCCCTTGCAGTAGCTTCCAGCAGTGGCCTTACTGTTGTGTCTCCTACAGATGCATAAAATGAAGTTCAACTCCACACCAAGGTGATGGCTAACAGGGCAACATAATGGTCACATACAGCAAAATGCCACACCCTGGTCACAATATATCCCACTGCAGAGTTTCCATCCTGTGGGGGAACAGCACATAGAGATGTCATTCTGTCACATATTATTCAAAAGCTACTTTGTGGCCACAAACTGCTAGTCAGTGCTAACCTTTTTGTCACATAACCTTTGAATAATGGGAAAGCTTTGGGTTTTATAGTTTTTCTCCTTGTATTTAAATTTTTAAATGACAAGGTAACTAAAACTCATGCACGCTGCAAAAAACGTCATGCAGTAGTTAAGGTAAACCATCCAAGCAGTTTTTATTCATTAATATTCATAAATACACACAGCAGCTTCATTAGAGATTTTTCATTTTTTTCCTCTTCAGTTTGAATGTGGAGTATTAGGAGAGCCTTTTGCATGTCAAGGTACAGGACACAGAGCTTTTTGCTCTGCACTGCAACCTACATTTACCTGCTAGAAGTAAAAATTAGTTAAGTGGAAATGATTATCATATATATCTTTTCTCTCTTTCTTTTGAATGTACACAATGTAACAAGAGTGACAGACCTGAAATTACAATCACCAAAACAAACCCAAGATAGCTGTTGTCCACTTTCATTGGCAAATACAGCACAGAGGACATTGTCTGCAAAGTGGGATGTCATCAAAGAGGAGGTGGAGGAGGCTCGTTTCCTTTATTACTCTCTTTTAAATTTAGGTTTTCTAAAGCAACATCTAGAGGCATAATATCTACACAGCCCATAGCACCAAAATCTGCAATCTCCCCCCGCTCATCCTCATCTGAGGAGGAACTTTCTTCCCGCATCAAAGTGGACAGTAGAAGCTCCTGAACAAACAGGCTGCAGTCTGCCCGTTCGCTTTCCATTGACTGACGCTCTGCTTCCGACATCTTCGGATCGTTCAACCTGTACAGCGGCAAGGGAAGAGAAGACAGGCAGTTGGTGAACGCCCATTTCACCAATGACACTACTGACAGGCACAAAGGGCACTCGAAAAAACGCTCCTTCAGGGCAGTCCTGGCTTGCCCTTCAACATGTACAGCTCTGGCAGCCTCCGACACCTCAGTACAACAGGCATGCATTTAACAAACCACCCTTCCCCTATTGCTACAACAGTATTTGAAGTGGAGCCTAAAGCTAGAGGAAAATAAAAAGATATTTGTGAGGTTTCCTGCTATTCGGGAGCCTTTTAGGGAGGGCTGTTGTGATTTCCTAGACACTCATTATGTGCCTGTTTTGTTTTTAGGTCAACTTATTTTAAACTTATTTTTCAGGTCAAGTTCACATATGCCCCAAAACACATTACTGCATGTGTAAAGCCTAGGGATTCCCAAAGCATGGTGGAATGGCCGTTCCACCACTTCTCCTAGGTTATAGTGCATGCCCTGACAGGCGAGGAAATTGCTTGCTCCAACTCTTGAAAGTTGTAGTCTGTGACACTTACAGGTACTTAAGTTTCTCAAATAATAATGAGTTTCTGATTGAAAGATGTCACATGGTATTATCTTGCACTTAGATAAAAATCAGATTGACTCAAATCCAGGTTTCTTGATACAGGAGCTGTTAAAATGCCCACACTCTTTCACAATACCAAAGAGACAAACAAGAATATGTATGGGGGATCATGCCAGGGGAGATGTGGAAAACATTTTTACTTCAGGTCAATAGGCAACCTTCTAAAAGAACTGGAATGACACAGTGGGTGACTCCTCTTTAAAGTAACTCTGGGATCTATTTCCAAACCAGACAAGTATTTGGTTAATTAATAGCATCCTTTATTTGCTTTGTTGTCCAGTCTCTAAAATAATTAACATATAAACCCCTATTCAACCTTCAGCTTTTGCTAAAGATTGATTTCCTATTGAACAATACCATCTTTTGACTCTCTGGGTGTTCATTACAGCTTATACCACTGGAAACTCACTTGTTTTGTTGGAAGTAGTAGGGGAAACAAGCACAATTTAGCTAAGAAATATTCCTTTTGTTCCTCTTGAAGTTGAGACGCAGCAACTAATGTTTACCCATCGCTTAGGAGCAGACAGACAGTAGGTTTGAAAAGATGTTACAAATGCAAACACAAGCGCTGTCTGTTGGCTACAGACTTGATGACAGATCTGGCAGAAGTCCCCTGCCTGGAGTCGTAAGTAACTTACTCAGCCAAAACTCAAAACCACCCTCCTTTTCAAGGTCTGCAGAAATCCATACTCAGGTCTAATCCTTTAAACACATTCCTAGGTGCACCAAAAAAACTTATGAGATTGCCTCTCCTTTTTGCAAATACTAGACCACCACAGGATATTTCTGCAGCCAGCTGCTGGCATTGGCTTTCCAAAAGCAAAGTAATTCCCTTGGGCCAGCTGTAAACCACTACTCTTGGATATTAAATTACCAGTTTTACTTTCATGCTAGAAATGTGGATGAAATCAAGTTTTATGTATTACACATTCTGTGACCACTGTTGACAACTACTGCAAATATATTCTGTACGATTAATTAGCCTGTTAACTCTGGAATATATTTGATCAGATGCTGCTTTAACAGGGCATGTGCTTAACCCCAAACACTTAAGTTTAATTCAGCTCTATGTCTCTATCAGGATTAAGGCAAACAGAAACGGTAAAAGGTAAATACAAGTAAATACACAGAACAAGTTACCTTGTAAGAAGAAACTGGGAATTCTGGATAGTCTGCTGACTGTTTTCTGTGTTAGATGTGTTGGTTGTTGTTGTAGATTGTGTCATAGTGGTGTTGACATTGATCGTGTTGGTGCGTCTAGTTGCATTGCGTGCAGTCTCCAGTTGTTGTCTTGCTGCCTGTGCATGTTGCCGTTCCAACTGCAGTTGCATCTGCAGCTGCTGTAACTGAGAAGCAGAAGGGCCAGAAGAGTTGAGCTGTCCTCCCGCAGAACGCCTCACACCTGATAGCTGAGATAAAAGCTCTGCCAGAGAAGAGAAAGTTTCTATGATGAAAGGTTAAGACCATCATTGTGTAATGAGCACTACACAACAGAATGAATACAGCCTGAATTCCAGTGCAACAATTCCTTTTTTCAATCAATAAAATCAAAGAACAAACAATGCTGAAGAGCCCATGAAGCTCTTGGAAAAAGTCCTAGCATTCAATGTCTCAAAGGGTAAGGAAGATGAAGACTCATTTATGCAGATTTATTCCAAATAAGAAGTCAATGTTGAATGCCTTCAAAATAACAGGAGAGACAATCTACAGTGAACGCCTGGCAAATGATGTCCACTGCAGCAATTCTCTGAAACTTCAAGTCAAAATAGCAACTCACTAAGAAACTACCTCAGTTGGGCTTTGGTTGGTGATTTTATTTTCCTCTCAACAAATGTTCCCTCAAAACACAGGCTTCACCTTCCCAACATCCCAGAGGAAAGCTGTGCTGCAGCAAAGAGAGAAATACCATACCACTGCTTCAAACATTTAATAAAAAATAGTTAAGAAAACATATTGAAGTATTGCCTCACATCAAAACTGAAGCGGCCAAGCACTTTTGCTGTATGAATTTTTATTTCTGCCAGGAGTACAGAAAAGGCCTAGTAATTAAAAAAATCTCCGTTCTTAAGTCCTCCGACTCAGAGGGATAGAATGCTTATAGCAAGTTTCATCCACAAAGAATTTTCTGAAACAAGTATTAGCAGCAAATCACTGCTTGGTGTATTACTGCAGAATCTCTTCTACACCCTGTGTAGATTCTTCTATCACCTGCTTGATGTAGTTGATGCAAGGACAGAGGAACAGTACAAAGTTACTATATAGGTCATGACAATTTTCCTTCCATTGCATTAAGAAAATATTGTTCTTCTAAATAAGGCTTTCTTTAAGGGAATAAAGCAAAATGCAGTTGTATTCCATGTCAGGAACTCAGGATGGTCAAGTCATTTTTACCAGCACTTATAGCAATCCAATGGAATTAAAAGTTATTTAACTTTGGTAATTATTAGAAAATGTCACAGGAGGGAAGAAAAATGTAAAAAGATTTAACAGATGCGAGGAACGGCATTTATTTTAAAGAGAAAAATTCTGTGGACTTTCCTATTTTTTAACTCCAGTAAAAGGGTAGACACATCAAACTTCCAGACAAGATTTAGATGTACTTATTCTCACTCTAAGTTGAAGTATAAGTTAAAGCTTGGAGTATAGCAAACTGGTATTTTGAAAAGCAGATGCGAGCTCAAGACAGAGTCTCGCTATAAGAAGGGCACCCAGCTCAGTGTGCAACTGAACTCTGAACGCAAAAAACACAGCTTCCACCAAAAAAGACAAGATTCAGAAGAATGCTGCTAAGTGGGAAGGCCTTGTGAGGCTGAAAACAAACCTCAGCAGCCATTCTGCATTTAACTGAGCTGAACTACCTGCTCTGGTAAGAAGAAGATGAGGTTTTGCACTGGAGGCTTCACAAACATCCTCCCTCCTTGAACAAACTTCAGTCCTTTTCAGACCCTCCTGTGATCTCGCTTAACTTGTTTTCTTCTCTTGATGGGATACTTCTTTGCAGCTAATTTAATGAGTTAAATCAGGCCACAGCAGGCCAGCAGAGCACCAGAGCCAGTAGAAGGCAGGCAAGGAGACTATGATTAAGGAAGGCAGTGGAGCTGTAGCTCCCCTTTCAGGGGCAATGCCTCATTAAGCTGGCTGGCTACCTCCCTCTGAAGAAGTCACAACATGATAGTAGGAAGCTCCAGTTTAAGCATGATGCCTTCTTGGCATCTGTAGCAAAGGTGGATTATGGCAGAAGTTCTGAGGTTTCCTTCACACTTATACTGGCATGGTCAAAGACCACTGCATAAAAACATTTATATTTCCCCTTAGAGAAAGTTATATTTGTTTCCAGGATTGTCTTAATTCTGTTTTTTCTTTCCTGTAAAAAAAAGTTATTTTCACATCAGAGCTAAACATATGCCAAACAAGTTACTCCTGGGAATCCTAGAGACACATCTTCATTATCTTCTGGTGTTGAAAATGAGACACCCTTCCCCCCCGCCCCCAATTTTTCTAACCTTGACCAAAATACACTGCAAATATTTGCAACAGTGTATTTATGTAAGAATTCCATGTACACCTAAAAAAAAATCCATAATATTAGCAAGTCTGGCATTCAAACAGCAGCCTGGATGCAAACAGAACATATTTTAATTGTCCATTAATACTCAAATTCAGCTAATTTCATCTTCATTGAGACAGATCACTCCTCTATAAACACCTTCATCCACACGGCAAATTAAAATGAGATGTAGTAAGGTAGGTGATGGAAGTTGGACACAATCACTTGTAAAAATATACAATACCTGTGCATAGATTAGGTTTGGGAATAAGCCTTACTCTGTCTAGAATTAAAAGCAAAAGCTAGAGACAGTGGTTTCAGCTTCAGCATCTCCATGCACAGACCCTGTGACAACCTAGCCAAACTCCTCACCTGCAAGCAGCCATCAATCACACACGCACTGTGGAACATATCTATACATGCAGCTTCATAACCACAGAATGCAGGGCAACTATTATTATCTTGAATTTTACTTCCTCTAAGAAGGGCACTGGGGTAAAATTCATGGTTAAAGCTCTTACCAGCTATAGGATCCATGGCTTCTCTATTGCTTGGAGAATACGAACTCTGAGAAGATGAAAGCCCACCAGGAGAACTGGTAGTAAAGTGCATGTTTGATCTACGTGCACGGGGGCCTCCCAAACCCCGGCCTGGGTGGAACATCCTACGTACGTGCCGAACACCACTGGATTCATCATAACCAAGACGTTAAGAAAACAGAACTGTTTGGCATTGGGTTTAAATGACAAGGACATTTGATGGGTGAAATACGCAGATGCACACTCTTCTTCAGAAAATAATGATTCAACTTCTGAGGCAAAGCTAAGGTACAGTGTAGCTACAGTGCAAGATCTGCTTACTGATCTGAACTGATCTGATCTGAACTCAGATTGTACCCATTGCTGTGTACACCAAACTCCTTGTACTTCTCCAGCTTTTTATGATGTCTAAGAAATATCCGGACTAATTTCTTAGTTTTTTTAGATCAAAGTTTTCTACTCTGTAATCTGAAAACTCTTTGACAAATGCATGTTCAGCCAAGCTTATTACAGAGGCATAGATTTTTTCTCCCTCCCCAATTCTTATGTTAAGTATTGAAAATAATAAAAAAGTTTATTGCCATTCCTATCAGAAGTACATAATAATTACTATATGCCTTTTAACTTTTGTACTTCATGCTTTTATCCAAGAAATTTCATCACCTCAATCCTTAAGAAACTGTAGGTTTCTGGAGTATTCAGCACTTTCATCACATCCCCCCTTGTTTCACCTTTCCTCTTTTAGCCAAAGAAATACCACTAACTCCAGTTATGACAATGATGCCTTTCATTTTCCCATTTTCCCCTACTTCTCCCCATCAGATGTTTATATTTCAAGTCATACGTTTTATTTGTTTTCTCATATAAACTGAGAGACAATCAACAAATTATTTAAAGATAACTTTTGTCAGAAAGTTCTTAACATTCATTCCTCCACGACAGTCCAGGTAAGGCTTCCATTTATTTCAAAGTCACTAGTATAATTCACTAGTGCAAAATGAATAGCATAGGCTTGAGTATTTTATTTTACTGTTACCAGACTTTTCACTTAGATCCTCCTATATCCCATGTTCTTTATTTTTATAATAGCGTGCTTTCCACTCATATGGTATCCATCACTGTGTAAGAGCAGTGTCCAATGTACTTTCCTTAAAACACAGTTACGGTGTAGAACCTCAGGATGTCATGGAGGCCAAAAACTCAAGACTGAAAAAACTGACTTCTTGTGGCAAGAAAGACCTGCCTATTACAAAAAGATTGTACAGAATGTTTGGCTCTTTCGAACCTATTAGTTATGCCACAGTGTAGAACACTCAATGTCTAGGGTACTCCCCTGGCACAGAACACACTTTGCCTAGCACAGAGTGCCTTGCACCTCTGAGAGTGCTAAAACTGGATGCTGCTGAAGACGAGATACCGTGTTAGATACGCTACTGCCCCCACGCAGTTTGGCAAGCTTTTCATAACTAGACCTGGTAGAAAAGGCCAGTATCTGGGGATTTTTCGAGCAGACACAGGACTGTGGGGTAACTTTTCTAACTGCAGCTTTTGAAGTGTTTTGAGATAAACATCATTCTTTCAATACTAGCTAAGCATGCACCCAAGTCTTACTGGCTTTCTTAGTAAGAAAAACCTTTGTAAACCTTAACTTCTGACAAACAGATAAACTGAATAGCCATGCGAGAACTATTTGTGTGATTGATGCTGAAAAGCTGTATTTAATAAATTTTCAAATATTTTCCTGCTAAAGTAAGAAACTGGGCTTTAAAGAGTGGTCCCCAGAGTGTAGGAATGAAGGACATACCTTGCAATGGTTGCACAAGGTTTATAACAAGAAACACATGCAGCCTTCTGGGACAACTTAAGAAAAACACACAAAAACCAAAACCAAAATAAACCATACATGTCTAATCAATACCTGGAAGATGAGACCACTCCTCAGAACTATAGCAGACCCAACAATAAAAGATATCTCGAACTGCAACAGAAATCTTCAGTCTAGAAAAAGTGCAAGCACAGAGCCTTCCCTCCTCCCCCCCCCCTTTTTTGTACATGAAGGTTGTTACAGAGCACAGAGTTGTTCTGTACAAGCTTTAATGTCATATGACGATGTTTAGAACAGCAGTATAACAGTATCAGAGAGCCGCTTTCTAACAGCTCCCTGACTTCGACAGTTACTCTTTCCTACGCTGCCAGACCCTGGATAAAAAGGGGCATCTCCTCTTCCTTTTTTCCTGCTTTAGACCTGCCTGTTGCTAGACATGACGTAGAGCCCAAGGTGGAAGAGTCACTTCAGGATACACTTATTATCAGGTTTTGGAGACCTGACAACACTGATCACTGGAACAATAGTTCCAGAAAATTCTACATGCGTTGTCTTTAATGTTGAATCATGGACAAGGTATTCCCAAAATATTTCCAAGAAAGATCCATGTTGGGATGACTGGCATTGAAGCCTTAGTCTGTATTTGAAAAGATTGATTTTTCTAGCTCAAACATTCCCAAATTAAAAGTCATCTGGTGGCATCTCTGATACTGGAGGGGAGAAGGAGCTGGAGAGGCATGAATTCCAATCAAACATCTTGTTCATTTCAGTAGGAAATTAATTTCAGTGTAACTGGGAAAATTTAAACTTCCTGGCCTACAGAGTAGTTAAGCTGGTGTTGGAGGCCCACAGTTTGACCTTTAGTACACTGCTACATAGTTATTAGGGATGTAAATTTTGTTAGAAAAAGCATATTAGGCAGGTGCTATGAAAAACTCACAACTGGCAGGAAGAGCAGACTAAACTGATAAAAGAAAAATTGCTCAGTGACACACTACACCAGCCATCAAGCAACATCTCAGAGCCATCCAAAGGCCAGGAAAGATCCAATGGCCTAGAAGATGCTCTCCCCTCAATCTCATTCTACTTCTACCAGAAAGGGAGGATGGCACAACTCTGCCCCGGGGGACACCTGACCAGGGAGGGACCTTCCTGTACACCTGGGACCAAGCTCACATGGCCAGAGCCACTGCGCTTAGCACCCTGCTCCTCCTAACTGCTGAGAGCCCTGCTTGTGTCCACAGGGAAAGGTGAAGTAGAGATAACTAACTTTTATCTAACTTTGTAGTGTTCTTTGCGTCATTAGTTAATCCTTCACAGAGCAAATAAACACACAAACTCCTTTACACTGATTCAATTATTGTGTAGTGATTAACATGTGCATTTAGAGTGTCCTGACCCTAAACCATGGTAACACTAACAAATTTAAATGCAATCAAACACAATCATAACTGAAATGGAGCCATCTCCTTAAATGCTGTCTCCCTTCTGTTAGCGTAACAAATGCCAGTTGCTAGGGCTTGGATTTTTTATTTTTATTTCAGTTGCTAGGGTTTATTTTCTTTTCCCCTTTTTTAAAAATCTTTAAACAAAAAAGCCACTATCAAAGTAATAATGTGCTCTTTTTGTATGTTTGTTTAAATGAGACAAAGGAATACTTCAGAGAGATTACTTACTGTAGGTAGGCTACATAGCCTGCATGTCATTAAATAAAAAGCCCAAACCAAAATACATTTCATCAGTTAATTGGGGGGGATTAAAAAAAAAAGAAAAATCTTCCTAGAACAAGGATAAAACCCCCCAATAGTTCCAGCTCTTCAGCCATCAAGCGTAGATAAATTTGCATAACCTGCTGCTAAGGTAACTGAAAGACAACATCCTATTTCCCAGGAAATCTGAAAGTTTTCTGAGTTATGTTACAAAATGTCACTATGAAATTATGTTATTAAAACATGGTGTTAAAAGTAGTTAAGCAAGTTTTAAATCATTTGTCAAATAATCCTCAGATCATGACCTTCATGTCAGAAATACTTGGAGCACGCTACTGAATCTGTACACATAAAGCAGCATCAAGACTAATGATCAGGCCCAATAAACCACACTGCAAGTAGAAAAACCTTGGTATCAAAGTTCTTTAAATGTTCTTGCTGTTAGAGCAAAAAGCACTGTCAAGTATACCTACAGTCTGTTCACAATCTGGTATTTATACCTTTTTAAACTAGCAAGTGAACCTTTTTATTTTTGACACACAGATCTTCAGCAACTTAGGTTCCAGGAAAACCAAATATACGACCCTTTGGCTATAAAAATCAAAACAACTCATCATGGCTACTAGATGAAACAGTCTAGCTGCTTTGCCGTAACTTGGAAAGGATATTAAATCTCTAGGAGCTCTGTGTTCCAGTGTAAGATGAGCTGCGAAGTCATCTGTGACATGATTCGGATCCCCTCCAGGTAATGCTGCACATATTGGACAAATCTGAAATGACAAAGCGAGAAAAAACCCAACTTGATAAATTTTACACAAAACAGAACTTGTATCGAGTCAATCATTAGACATTGATTCTTATGCTTTAAAATCACGTTCTAGGTATTCACAAACACCTGGATAGCAACATATTCAAAAACCCAGAAAATGTATTCAACTTCAGACATTAATTTAGACATCTTTTACTTTATGATTTTCAGAATGCTGTGAAAACCAGAGTAGAATTTTCAAATTCAATTTGCAATGTCTTGAAAATTAGTCTTTGTATGCCAATTTGCCACAGACAGTAGTCTGATTACACAGGATTACTATTTGCCTGTTTGACACTCATCCCAGCAGAATAATCAGAATGAGACCACACATAAGTATTTGCTGAAGTATCAAACTGAAACCACCCATCCAGGCAGTGCGTAACTACAGGTTTGGCAGAGAAGAGCTGATCTCCATATCCCTACACAACAGTATTTTGGGAGAAAGCACTGATGTCTGTCTTTGATCTGTTCTTTTTTTAAATCAAAACACACATTAACTAAGTAGACAAACAGTGCCATTACAATCGCCATAATTATGACTTGTTTTTGAATGACTCCACAAACAGCTTGAAAAGCATCTTCTAGTTTTGCGGACTGATTTGGAAGTTTTACAGATGGCAGATAAAAAAAATCCATTCCACAAAATTCTTCCCCCAAATGTTAAGGGCTCAAGTTAACAGCACTTTGACAGTTAAATGCAACTACTGTCTATGAATTTATCTCTCTGTTCCTCACAGCCAAACAGTCTTGTCTTACAGGGCAACTCGGGCTGCTACAAAAAGCCCAGTGCTCTTTATACATATACTCAAGTTATTGACAGTAGATCTCAAAAGACCATGGGATTAAGAACACCTATATAATAGCACACACACCTGTCTTATGGAGGTGAGGACAAGGTCTTGAAATAACTTTACTGTAAAATCTCAGCTGTTTTTGACAGCAGCTGCTACATCTTTAATAACACTTTGATTTTAGTAGTCAGCTCTGAGCAGAAAACCAGGCATTTTAAAAGCTTTTTGCTATAACCTCTTCGCCTTTAGTTTCAATGTTCAGCATTTCTCTTCACAGAGCTTCTCTTCCCAGATTTTTCACCACTACAGAAGCCATACAAGCAGACACACCACAGAGCAAAGACATATTACAGCATAATAGAATAAATACTCAACTATGCCAACATATCCTACAGCTACCCTGTAAGGACATAGGAATGGATATATTGGACAGATGATTTTGAAGTCCATAAAGTTATTTATAAGCTGCTTAATCATCAAGAATATGTTTCATAACAACAGGACACACCACCTTCAAAGCAATCTTTTTTCATTTAAGCTATTCTGAGGAAGCAGAACCCCAACATGAGAAGAACAACACACTTCTGAAAGCAGCAAAGCAGAACAAAGTTCTTTTGCTAACAGGACAAAGGCATTATGAACTGTCCATATTTGCCTCAAAAGGAGAGACACAGTCCTCAGAAAAACATCAGATAAGAAAAAGTTATAAGGAACAGTGAGAAGGAGGGAATCTAAATATCCTAACCCTAATTCTAAACACGAACTAAACTTCCAGGAACTGACTGGGAAAAGTTACTGAAGCATTGTTATACACAAACAAAAATTTAGTTAAGCATAAGCTCTGGCAAAATCACAACAAAGACTGCAGCATCACTGATTAAGCGTGACACAGCTGAAAATCATTGTTAATAGAACATGCATGAACAAATGGTGCAGATGAAAGGAAAACATTGTCAGAAGTTTCTCCTGAAGTTATGATCATTTGTATTAAAAAAAAAAAAAATTCATGTTACCCTGAATGATGTCTGAAAGATGATGGCAAAGTCGTAAGCCAATCACACTCACAGAATACCTGCCAGTTTCCAGAAGTGTGCTTATGTTACCACTACTTCCCTGTTTATGTACAAGGTAACAGCTTTAAGTGTCAGTATTTCTTTAATTGCAACAACAAACACTGTAACCTTCAAAAATGAAACAGGAAGCATTCAGGCTGTCTCAGATTGTCTATTTCATTACTGCAAGAAAAGCTCTCCTCAATTTTATCAGCAACCGATCAACAACCTAGTCCTTACAGTTCATGTACAAGGAGTCTATTTACTGTCTTGCTAAACGTAAGAAAGTTGCTGCAGTGCAATGTAATAGAAGAACATTTGTGTGTCTGTTCTGAAATGAGATTCAAAGATTACATTTGATGAAGTTTCCTAAAATTTTTGTATGTACAATACTAGCAGACTTAGAGTTACATGTTGCATTTTATTTGGAACAGTCAACTGACCTGAAACCCAACACCAACACTAACAATCATCATACTGACAGACAAATTCTTCTGCACTTGCCTTATGATGCTTACCGTTACCCTTGGACATTTACTGGTGAAGAAATACTGGTAATTACAGAGGTTTTAGTACTCACCAAAATCATGTGATTTATTCTTTTTAGTGTGTAACCTTAGAGACTTAATCAATCACAAAACTTGTGACTACTCCCACAGACACCAGTACAATTTTCAATTAAAGTACCCAGAATTAGAACAATCACCTTTGAGGAAATACCATCAAACTCTCCTCCTGAAATTCCTCTCCAGGACCTCATGCTGAGGTGCCTCTCCAAAGCGCCTGTATACTAACGCACACAGCACGGGGAATAACCACGATGAGTTAGAGATCTGCGTGCAGTCGCAGGGCTACGATCTTCTTGGGATCACAGAGACATGGTGGGATGGCTCCCACAACTGGAACATTGCAATGGAGGGATACGGGCTCTTTAGAAAGGAGAGGAAGGGGGGCTTGCCATTTATGTGACAGAGTAGCTGGAGTGCATGAAGCTCTGCCTGGGGATAGAAGAAGAGCTGATGGAGATCTTATGGGTTGGGATTAAAGAGAGGACAGGCAAAGGTGACGTTATACTGGGTGTCTACTACAGGCCACCTGACTAGGAAGAACAAATGGATCAGTCACCCTACAGACACATAGGAGCTGCCTCACCCTTGCAGGCCCTGGTCCTCATGGGGGACTTCAATCAACCCGATATTTCCTGGAGGGACAACACAGCATGACAGCAACCCAGGAGGTTCCTGGAATGTGCTCATAACTTCTTTCTCCAAACAACAGAGAAGCCAACGAAGAGAGGTGCTCTGCTGAACTTCACACTCACCAACAAGGAGGGGCTCATATGGGATGTGAAGGTCAAAGGCAGCCTTGGCTGCAGTGACCTTAAGATGGTGGAGTTCAGGATCCTGAGGGCAGGGAGGAAGATGAAAAACAAGCTCACAACCCTGGACATCAGAAGAGCAGACTTTGCCCTCTTCAAGTATCTGCTTGGAGGACTCCCGTGGGATAAGGCCCTTGAGGGTAGAGGGGCCCCAAGAAATCTTGTTAATATTCAAGGATCATCCCCTCCAAGCTCAAGAGTGCTCCATCCCAACCAATATGAAGTCAGGCAAAAATGCCAGGAGGCCTACATGGATGAACAAGATGCTCCTGGCCAAACTCAAACACAAAAAGGAAGCATACAGAGGTTACCCTCCCAGTGTAACCTTGAAGGAATACAGAAACATTATCCAAGCATCCCAGGACAAAGCAAGGAAAACTAAAACCCAAATGGAATTGAATCCAATGAAGAATGTCAAAGGCAAAAAGAAGGGCTTCTAGAAGTACATAGGAAACAAAGACTACTAGGAAAAATGTGGGCCCATTGCTCAAAAGGTGCAGGACCGGTTACACAGGACACAGAAAAGGTTCAAGCACAATGCCTCCTTTGCCTCAGTCTTTACTAGCAAGACTGGCCTTCAGGAATTCCAGGCCTCAGACCAGGGGAAAAGTCTGGAGCAAGGAAGACATTCTCCTGGTGGAAGAGGATTAGGTTAGAGAATACTGATGTGAACAGGACATACTTAAGTCCATGGACTGTGATGTGATGCATCCACAAGGGCTGAGGGAGCTGGCAGATGCCATTGTGAGGCTGCTCTCAATAATCTTTGATCAATCATAGTGACTGGGAGAGGTGCCTGAGGACTTGAGTAAAGCAAATGTCACTCCTATCTTAAAGAAGGGTAAGAAGGAGGACTTGGGGAACTACAGGCTGGTCAGCTCACCTTGATCCCTGTGAAGGCGATGGAGCAGCTAATCCTGGACACTGTTTCCAGGTACATTAAAGACAAGAAAATCACCAACAGTAGTCAGCATGGCTTCACCGAGGGGAAGTCATGCTTGACCAACTTGATAAACTTCTATGCTGAACTGTCTGGCCTGGCAGATGACTGGAGAGCAGTGGATATTGTCTACCTGGACTTCAGTAAGGCCTCTGACATTGTCTCCCATAGGATTCTCATAGACAAGCTGCTCATGCACAGGCTGGATAAGCAGACAGTGAAGTGGAGTGAAAACTGGCTTAATGGTTGGGCTCAGACAGTGGTGATCAGTGAGAAACTTGCTGATGACACAAAACTGAGAAGAGTGGCTGATATGCCAGAGCGCCGCGCTGCCACTCAGAGGGACCTCAACAGGCTGGCCAACAAGGAACCTCCTCATGAAGTTCAACATGGGGAAGTGCACAGTCCTGCACATGGGGAGGAACAACCCCAGGCACCAGCACACACTGGAGGCCACCCAGCTGGAAAGCAGCTTTGCAGAAAAGGACCTGGGGGTCCTGGTGGACCATGAGCTAGCAATGTGCCCCCGCAGCAAAGAAAGCTAATGGTGTCCTGGGCTGCATTAGGAAGAGCGCTGCAAGGAGGTCAAGGGTGGTGGTAATCTTTTGCCTCTATCCAGCACTGGTGAGGCCACACCTGGAATACTGTGCCCAGTTCTGGGCTCCACATACAAGAGAGACATGCACATACTGGAGACAGTCCAGCAAAAGGCTACAAAGATCATTACGGGACTGCAGCATCTCTCCTATGAGGAAAGGCTGAGAAGCTGGGACTGTTCAGCCTGGAGAAGAGCAGGCTCAGACAGGGACTTTACAAATGTACATAAATACCTGAAGGGAAGGTGAAAGGAGGACGGAGACAGGCTCTTTTCAGTGGTGCCCACTGACAGGGCCAGAGGTAGTGGGCACAAATTCAAACACAGGAGGTGCCTCATGAACATCAGGAAACACTTTTTCACTGTGGAGGTGACTGAGCACTGGCACAGGTTGCCCAGAGAGGCTGTGGAGTCTCTGTCCTCAGAGATATTAAAAAGCTGTCTGGACATGGCCCTGGGCAGGTAGCTGCAGGTGGCCCTGCTTGAGCAAGGGGTTGGACAAGATGACCTCCAGAGGTCCCTTCCAACCTCAGTCTGTGATTCGTGCCCACAAGTACCTAACATTGCCGCATGTACCAATGCCAAATACCTGAGAAAAATCAGCAGAAAGTAAACTTATCTGCACCACTCCGAACATAAAAATGGCCAAATTTAATGGATCAACAATTCTTTGACTTGTTCTTTGAAAAATGGGGGGTTGTGGGGGAGGGGCTGTAAAATAAAAAGTGATTCCATCCCTGAAAAACTTCCCCTTAAAGATCTAAAAATAAGTATCTCAAATAAAACACATCTTTGGATGGACAGAGATACTACAAGGACTACAAGCTCAGTATCTAAACAGAAATAATTTCTTGAAAGCCTAAGACCACAAACATTTAGAACCCATAATATTTTCCTCTTTAGTAATGTTGTGGCCTTTCACTATCTACAGTAAGACTGCAGTACCCAAGTAGTGTTATATGCATGCACACTAAACATTTATCACAAAAGCTAGATTCAAAACTTAGCACAAACATATACAATCATATTCAAGTATTAAAATATTGTCCTTTATCATAGTTTGGAACAAAGGCAGTACAACATTGCAGACTGACTCACAAAAAGGAAAGAATCGTTACTTATTTATTTACACCTACAACTTTTTCAGGAGTCAGTGGAGTAGCACGTGTCTAGAATTGCAAATTTAGACTTCATGTGCTGAGTTCTACAAATCAGAGCTGCAAACAAGGATGTGTCAAATTTAAAAACCTGGAATCTTAACATTCTGTGTCAGGAGCGTAACACTGACATCAAGTGGTGCAAATCAGAATTGCAATACTAAGCCACTGAACTTTCAATGTTCGGTGCTAGTTTGAAAGTTGTAAAGTTAAAGGAAAACTCAAGAAGATGATAAAAATTGCAGTGTGTCACTAAGTTAAATTATGATCCTACAGTGCACCAATTGTGAAATAAACTGTTTCACTTCGTGTGTTTTTAAGAAAGATCAGAACACCTTTGAGTCTCAGAAAGGTGGACAAACCACCTCCCTTATCACTCCTTCGCACGATCCTAAATAGGTTTGGAGAAGAAAGGTTCATTTTCTTCCACAGAATTCTTTGGAGGTTAAGAAAATCAGAAGATTAGAATAGAGGACCTATTGATAAGTAATTTCTTCACAATGTATTAGTGATGAATAATCCACTTCAAACATTCATGTTTTTCTAGGAATCTACGGTATAACAGTTAACCAGGTGAGAGCACCCTGGATGTCATTCTGCTAACCTAGTTTCTCCTACTCCCAAAGACAATCAGGACAGCAGGAGCTTACAACTCAGATTAAAGTATTTCTGTTGACACCTGTTTAAGAAGTGTGTTTTTAACCATGTCAAGTGTCCTAATGGTTAGGGATGGGGGGGAAAAAAACCCTACTTTAAAAGCAATGGTTTCAAAAGAATGACAACTTCCGCTGCATAAATATACCAGGTCCATTACAAAAGCTATTTGAAAAACACACCAAACTGTCTGCATGTCTTTCTCTGTCTTACAAAAGACTAGCACAGCTATGAGCTTCCAGGACAATTACACAGTGGTTGTGAAAAGGGAGACATGGCTACACAGAATAACCATAAGAGCATTCTAAATGTTGTCTTACAGGATAATAAACTCCTAAACATGGCAGCCTTCATATCAAGACAACCAAACAGCAGGCCTGAAAGAAGAAAGTAAGCTCATTACATTGCGATACCCATGAAACATAGAAAAATGTTGATGTCACCATCAAATGTAGGTATGTCTTCTTACAATGCATTTAAATGAACTCAGGCTTTAAGAAAGAATAAGGAAGATACCAATTTTCCAGAAGAGAGACTTTTTTTAATATATTTCCACCACAACTGAAAGCCAATTCTGAAGCTTCTTACCACTTCTGTTGATGTTTCTGCATGCTCAGAAGTAACATGTTCTTGAAGAGATGTTTCCGTATAACCCATTTTCCCACAATAAGGACAAGTAAAAGACTGTGGCTGCTCTACAGAGAAAGCTTCTCCACCATAGTACAAATCTGGAACAGAAAGTGTTTAAATGGAGGTTACTTCAAAGCAGTAGCGTCATTTGTTTTGTTCATGTAAACCTCGTTTTATAAATGTACCTTAATGTGATCACTGCCAAATTAACCTGGTATTTAACTGAAATGGCTATTTTAATCTTGTATAAAGGCCATAGGCTGATATTCAAGAAGTGTTCAATTACTGACAACAAAAACCAGACAGACTATGTTTCATTTTCATTAGCAAACATAACACAGTTTTCTAATATTCAGTAGGCACAAAGACTATGATGCTGCTGCTGATACTGCCAAGCCTTCCCTTTTCTACCATCCTTCTTATCCCATGTATAGGGTCACTTATGGTATTTTTCAATCATAAGATGAGTTTTCAAAAGTTAACCTCTCAACAGTACCTCAGAAATTTCAATTAAAATTTAGAAGTCCTCAGTGATACCGTATGTCAATATTTATGCCATAGCTGAACCACTGCTTCACAATAAGTAGTTTTAGAAATGTCTCAAATACATACTAGAAAAGATTGATAGTGAAAAAGGAATCTGATTATCCGTTACACGCTGCTTGAAACTTTTAGGTGTGTTGAATTGAAGCACTTTTGCACTACTGACAAAAAGCAGGCACTTTTAAGTTGCTACTGTAGAAGTTCCCCAAACTTAACATGAAAATTAATCAAATCATGCAAGAAAATAATGCTTTTCTTTCTCATCCTCTGCAGGTATTATGTATTCGAAACATGAATAAACTTCACATTCCCATCAAGATGAGAAGTATGATTTTCTCCAGCAAGTAATTTAAAATCTTTTCACTGACATTTTTTCCTAGGACTCACTGATAAGTAACTGAAAAATATTTTCATAGAATTATGAATATTCTGCTGCGAATTAAAAACTGGACAAGTATGTTCTGCACCACAAGGCAATATCTACCTAATGTGTTAGGCCTATGTCCTCCTGATGGCTTAAGTCACAGCTTCCTAGGTTTATACTATCTGCTACTGACCTCTCTTTCCGACATGACCAGGAGGAACTTGACAACATTTTTGTTCCTGCAGCTTTACAAAAGATGATGCTTAAGCTAAAAATGGACATATCTATAATCTACTATAGTAACAGGTATTATTTGACATATAACTAGGTTTTGAGGGCTAACACTCCAAGACTAATACAGGAAATGAACTGCTTAGTACCATGCTAATATGTAGAGTTAAAGTTACAGAATCAGATTGAACACACTGCAGAATGAAGTTTATGTTCAGTAAGTCCCTGTTTCCCTTATTTGGAAACTCCTTCCAGGTAATTTAAATGCTGGAGGATGAGAGAAAGACACCCCTTTAACAGACATGGTAAGAAATGCCCAAGTAGACAGACAGCCTTGCCAAAGAAGAAACACTACCTGACACACCAACCATTTTAACGGTTCACCAAATTATCTATCACACTGAGCTTGAGTACCATCCTGAATCTAGGTTCATTTATTCACATACACATGAGGAAAACATTACGTCCAATCATCCAAAGTAAGAAGTTCCCAGCCAATTAAGTCTTAGTTCTCCAAAGCAGCATTTGAGGTTCCATTAAATGTTTTATACAATAAGGCACAGAAGAAACTTTTCATTAGAGAATGGAATTGCATATCAGGTATGACTGAAAGGGAGAACTACAAAGACTGAAAGTCAGCATGAATGTAAGTTGGAAGACATGCCCAGAAGAGTAGCATGCCCACCCCCCAACCTGAAAGTCGTTTATATAGTACTGAAACAAACAGATGCCTGGAATCATTATTAGAGGGAAACCCCAAAGGTCCTTACACAACATGTATCAGGACTCAGTTCTGAATGCATCTGAGTCACCCAACACACAAAAAATGGTCATTTCCTTGACAGGTTGTCAGGCATTCAGCTTGCATTCTAACGACAAGACATGTGGTATGTCTTAATTCAAAACCTCTGTCCTTACCTGATCCCCTATAAATCCATGAGAAGAACCAATGAAGCTATGCAAAGGAAGGTCTACCTTCCCACATTTGCAGGAGAGGTCACCAGCCAACACTTAAATATACCATATTCAACTGAAGATGACAATACTACCAGATTGGAAGAAAGCTTCTTAAAAACTCTTAAATCTGCTTGTTTGGTTTATAAACTAAGTATCCATCAGCTTTAGAGTGGTTCTGAATGCTCGAAAACAGGAACCACAGCAAATTCCCCCATGTCAAAGCTTCTAAACTATCTGTAGTTCTTATCCATTACTCACAGTAAGCTTGTGTTTATTCTGTATGAGTACATTGGTACTATAATTACTCTGGCAGGTGAACAGAAAACCTGGGTCTGAGGCAGGATTACACCATTAGCATTCAGAACTCTGACAGTCCCGATGTACAGGTGTTAAGCAACATCACCCTACAGGATGATCCAATTAGATTTACTTACATGCACAACTATCTTTTAAATTGAATAGCTTCTCTAAAATTACAGCACACGTTTTTCAGGTGGTGACCTGTCTCGTTTCCAACACTTCCACTCTCCTCTTATTTACATGATACACAATAAAGACTTAGATGAAAATTAACCTGCTCCAAGTTTGAGGTGTTATGGACACTGTTTCAGATATGACACACAGAAGTTCTATGTAATTCACAGAACTTCAAGATTTGGGAGCTCCTAACCAGTGCCACTTCAGTACATATTTCATTAAGTACCCCCCTGAAAGTTTCTCCAAGAATCACATTCAGACTCCCATTCTGATGTAGCCAAAAACCTGAGTGGGGGTAAAAAAATTACCAATATGCTGCAGCACACTCAAATACAAAGAGTTTAAATATGTCATGGTTTCAAACGAGGAAAGCATAAATAAGATTTACATGGGACAAAGTTCTAGGCAGTCACTAAAACAGTCTGAATGGATCAGCCATACAGACTCTGGAACAGATATTCTTTCAGAAAAACATATCTATAAGGCAAAGGATTCAAGATGAGGGTTGTCTAGAACAGATAAATGCAAAATGCTTCAATGAAGACAGATGAAAGAATCCTCCTTGCAATTATATGAAGAAAAATTCTAACTAAAGCAGCTCATTACACAAGTTGTTACAGTATATACCAAAAAGGAAAGCTTTAAAAGCATTCTTACTTCTCCAGTGTCATTGCACAGAGGAAATGTAAACTTCAGTTCTCACTTTTTCAGTGTCCTAAAGATATAACTGAGTTGGAACTTAAATAAAGATTCTGGGAACAAAGTAAGATGGCCGAACTTTTGAACTGAATATTTAAGAAGAACTCTAAATTTAACTGTATTTAATCTGCCCAAAACAGCACATGCAAATGCTGTATTGTTGTCTGAAACACAATAATTGAACAAGAACTTCTGCAAAAAATTCCGCGTACCTGTGGGAATATCAAAAAACCCAGTCACAAACACATCGAAAGCTAATGACAGTTTGTTTAGTTGATCGTCTGATTTCCCTCAAGCTTTGGTATGATCTTCATGATGATGATTAAATACCTCTTTACTGACTGGAAAACTGAAATTCTCCATCACTGCAAATACACAGACACACATTCAAGAACACCAAGTCAAATTTTCCTTTGAAAACTCTTTCTAGCTCACCAGACTAATTCCTGGGACTTTTTGAAGTCCTAGCATCTTATATACTGATCTGGATAGAACAGGAACGTGATGACTCAAAAGGGGAAGCTAATAAAAAAAGGGGCAAATAATCTTATTCTTTAGAGGATTTCCATGTTAACAGTAACTTCTACATCTACTGTCTAAAAAGAAAAAAAAAAAATCGCTCAAAATTATCAGGTGGTCTAAAAAGATCTACCTATAAACCTCACTACTTCATGAATGTAAGTATTTTCAAGCAAGGCAGAAGTACCACCTCCAACTTCCCGGACGAGCAAAGGGCACAGGGCCACAACCAATCTGAAGAGAGTGGTACATAGATTAGCATGCAGGTAAAAATATCTTTTCCTTAGATATGTTTTTAGCTCAGTCCAGATGTCAAGAATTCCAGCAGTACACACTGCTCTATCACAGAGGGTAGAGGTTTGACAAGTACTGTCAAATCCTGTGTTTCTGGTCCTTGCTTTTAGATAATATGAAACAAGCCATTTATTAATTAAAAAGATAAAAATCTGAGTTCTTTCCAGCCTCCTGATTATACTCCTGCATATTCTCCCACTCATACCTCCTTCCACATCTTTCTCATCCCACAGCAAACGTACATGCACATGCCAAATAAATAGGCCTTCATCTAGAAAACAAATTTTAAAATGCACCTGTCAGAAGTTAAATCAGTCACTGGCAAATCCAAATATTTTTCCTTTAGAAGTTTATACTACCCTTCTTTCCTCCTCAACTTTAATCTGTCTCCACCTCTTACAATCAAAATCTGTCCCTTTTCTAAACTAAAATACAGGTCACCAGATAAGTTTTCTTTTAAACTATAACATAAATTAAAAAAACCAAGAGGTTGGTAATTAAGTAGTATCATGAATCTTTGCGTCTAACTTTATCATTGAAGTTACTGAATGGGTATTTCTACACCTGTTTTGTTTTTACAAGTACATAAAATATCCTAAAAATTATGAACACAGTCATGTTATTGACTATCAAAGGCTCTTTTGCTAAGGAAGACCCTAACAATTAGAGGTAGTACGGGAAGAAATGAAAAGGCCATGCTTCCATGGCTGCAGAAGCGAGGCAACCTACAATTGTATTACTGTTTTCATTTACAGTTGTATTACTGTTATGATGCAACTGGCCCATGACCAAAGAATTATCCCTTCTGGCCACAAAGAAATCTTTCAGATAATGTATTTTGATTCTTTCCAAATACCTTCCTACACAAAAGCAGAAGTCCATATCTCTTCAAACTCTTCTGGACCTCTAAAGCCCTCTTTTCAAAGTAGCTAGGAAGACAAGACTGCTTGCTAAAAAAGAAAACTGGAAAACTGGACTAAATTACATCCCTCTCGGAGAAGATTCATTACCCAC